AATTGTGAAAGCATGATTACCTTCTTGCTTTCGACCTGCCTTTGTGAGCAAGCTGTAGAGGGCACCCAAATACCTAGGCATATGCAAATAGAGTAAATACCCTTTTTTATGGTCTAAATGAGAACTATACGAGAAGCAATATATATGCTACTGATAATAACGAGCAAACAATTATAAAATAATAATAATAAATGATAATAATACGCATATTTACGTAAAAATTACTATAAAATATAAATTGATTATTTGAGATTACATCAAACTTGAAAATCATAAACACACATATATATATATAGATGTATGGACATAGTAATCCTATGTATTGTTGTATTGGCCTAAGAATTTTCGCATTTATCACAAATATTTATTTATTTTTCCTTATTTTATTTCTTGATTAAATGAACTATATCATAAATTTTTATAATCAAATCAAATTCAAATTACGATATAACCGCTAACCTAGGATAAGTTTTTCATGACATTATTTGATATTGCCCTCAATGCTATGCAACAAATTTGTCTTCATTTAGAAACTAGAATGTCCCATACTTGTGGGAAAAGGTTGCTTTGTGAATTGCAAGTGAAAACGATGTTTCCATACAACATTAAAAAATATTAGATAAAAATATCTTTTATGGACTTGTCAATTTTGAAAATGTATAATTAAAGATAATTAATTAGAGTGATAATATTTGCTTACTAATTTTATATAATTTTAATCTAAATTATTGTACATTTAACTTAAATTGTTTACACATTATATTAATTTGATTAGAGCTCTAAAAAATCAATTTAACCATTAATATTCACATAATATGTAAGTTATGTGTTGATTTTTTTTTATAATCAAAATCAAATAAACATGATATGCAAACATGGACGGTTATATTTATTATTATGACAAAATAAAATTATATAAAAATTATGGAAATTAAAATGATAATTAATTGTTCCGAATTATTCACTTTCGAAATTGATAATATCAGATATTGCATATAAAATAGATGGATCTACGTTTAGTAATTACACTATACATGAATTGTAGGTTTAGTCATTATATACTTGATTCGGTTAATTTTAATCTCAATTCAAATAATACAGAGATAATATGACTAATTAACATAACTTAAGGGTCGTTTGTTTACTGTTGAATGAAACCATTCAGCGCTGAATGCTGAACAGTTCAACATTCAGCGTGTTTGATTCTCACCTCTGAATGAAACATCAAAACATTGCTGAATGATTCAACATTAAAGTATATTTTGAATCATTAAGCACCCTGTATTTTACCATAATACATATTTTTTCACATGTTGTCTTATTAAACAATCATACCTTATAATATAATAAATCAATATGAAGGTAAAAATGAAAATATTCATAATTCAGATTGTACATTCATAACTATTATCAAATAACATGTCACATTCAGAGTCAATTCATACAGAGCCTTTGAATCATTCAAGTCATTGAATCATTCAGCGCTTAATCATTTTATTTTATCAAACAGCCCCTTAAAATTATCAAATTCAAAAAAAAAACTAATTGTATCTACAACTAATAATATAAAAACTAATGACATAATTTAGTTTAACAGAACTAAAATCGGTTGAATTTAAGTACAAAAATTAAATCCATAATTTATGCAAAACGAATGTACTAAATACGAAATTTAACCAAATGATATGTGAGAAAGATTCCATTCAATCTAGTGTACAACATTGATATTGCAAGGAAATAAAAAATTATTCGACGAGGCTCAAATTTTATTTTATTTTCCAAAAAAGGACCCTGGTTTTCTCTTATGTCAATATCATTGGCGCATTCTAGGTCTCTAACAATTGAATCCTCGACTCAGTCGAGGTATCATCTGGGGTAGGGTAGCTAAACAGTATATATACATAAATATACACACACGTGAAATACTAATGTATTTCCCTTTTAAGTTTTGTGGCTGGTACGAGACATAGGCCGAAAGTACATTTCGATTATTCATTGTTATTTGTCATTAGGGTTAGGTTAAAATTATATTATTCGAACTCAGATTAAAATGTCATTGTTTTTATATCTTATTAGAATTTGTTAATTTCATTTGATCCAGTCTGAAAAGTTTACGATGCAACTTGTTTGATGATAAAATAATTTAAGTGAAGAAACAACGATATGTGATGGATGTGAAGACTCTCGAACTATCGTGTTTACACAACTATATGTATATCCAGGTTTGACGTACTCTAGTACGATTATCTTTTATTTGCCATCAACTATAGTAAAATATTCTCTTTTTAAAATTTTAGAATTTTGGAGTTTTTCATTATTCATTGTTATTCTTCACTAGGGTTAGGTTAGGCTTATATTATTCGAATTCGAGTCAAAATATCATTATATTTATATTTTGTTAGAGTTTGTGACTCGAATTCTTTTAGTCAGATTAAAAAGTTTGTAGTGCAACACATCGGGTGAAAAATAATTTGAGAGAAAAACAGAGGTATGTGGTTTATGGGAGGCTCTCTCTGGTTATCCAACTATATGTATATTTTAGGATTGATGTACTAGCGTCTGATTTATTTATTTATTTTTGTAGTTTTTCATTGACTATAGTAAACTAATTATTCTCTTTTGTATGTAATTTTTTTATTTATAAAGTTTTTATATAAGATTGTATTATTTTATCTTTTCTTTTTACTGATTTGTGATAGTTTGCTCATCATTATTCGAAATTGAAGTTTTGTTGGGATGTTAAACACATATACTTTTGAAAATATGAAAGTCTAGGTAGCATGGGGGGTTTTTCGGTGTAGGCATTAACTTATAAGTAATTGCAGAACCCGACCATTGACAGGGATCAAACTTTCCATGTCCTTTATCACATTGCAATTTCATGGGCCAGACACTGTGTTTCTCTATCAAAAGATTCCCAATATATATATATATATATATATATATATATATTATAAAAGATGACTCGTCCATGTCTAGCCATGTCCCTTGGCCTAGCTATATAGGCTTTGGCAACCATTTAACCAACAAGTTGGTGGTCCTCAGGGATGGATCGAGGGAGAGTTGGGAGTACGATCGCACTCTCTAAAAATTTCAGATTTATTAAGTTCGTAACCCTTAACATAAATTTATGTGTCTATTCTTAATAGTATTTATTTTTTTTAGCTAAATACTTTGCATGCATTGTTTTAGAGGCTCATATTTCAGCCATAAGTTATTGTTGTACAGCCAAAAGAGAATGGATACGCAAAAGAAGAAGGGTTGAAGGAGAGAAGAATGAGAAAGTAGCATAAACAGTGTGAAGTGTTTAACCCTAAATATACAAATGTATTTTGTAATTATATTTAAGTTAAGTTGAATATCTTTTACTCTATACTTAATTGTAATCTAAACTAGATTGTTTTCTTCACAAAATTGACTCAATTCAATTCGAACCTGATTTTAAAAAAATAATATAGTTAAAATTGAGTAATTAAGCTAAAATATTTCAAATTTAGCTATGAAAATAAAAATATAGTCAAATTGAATGATGAAACTTATAATTTATCTATTTCACTTATTGTTTATCGCTAGTTTTAATTATCTGATTTTATTCTCTTAATAAATCAAAATACATATAAAATTTTTAAGTTTTACACCGTATTAATCTTATATATATATATATAAAGTCCTAAAAAGACGACTGTATGGTTGAGGAGGCGAGGGGTCATTGATGATAAAGAAAGAAGTAGGTCGGTCCACCTTCTTTACCCCAAAACCGACAAATCCCCCATTTTAGAAGTGTGATGCCCATATTTCTCCCGCATTCAACACCCAATAACTTGGACCGTATTATATAACGGTGAATTTAAAAGTAATTTTGAGAGCAAGTATATATACATTAATGATATAAAAATATCATATGAAATAAGCACAAATAAAATTATACAATGGATACAATTATTAAAATATTTAATTAATCGAAGAAGTATACTCACTTTGAGATAAGTATGGATCTATTATTGACACTATGTGTTGTGGTTGTTCATACGTACTTATCGATTGTGACATTGTCATTGTTGTAAATATTATTTCGAGATTTAAATTACAATTGTCAATTTAATTTTTCATAAGTTATTTTAAACATAATGAATATCATTACAATAATAATATGTTAAGAGTATTATTCAATTTTGAATGATAGAATAGATAATGTGTCCATCCGCTGGGAAATGATCACGTGTGCAACTTTAATATAAGGCTAAAAAAGACGCTACCGGTTTTGTTATTATTTAAATAACAAAATCAGTAAAAAAATTACCGGAAACATTATTATTTCTACCGATTTTGTTATTTTTTGGGCGTTATACCGGTTTTGCACTACCAATTTTGTTATTTTTTCTACCGGTTTTGTTATTGTTGGACACGTTATCAGAAATGTTAAAAAACATTGATGTTTTAGGTAGAAATAATAATGTTTTAGGTATTTTTTTACCAATTTTATTATTTAAATAATAACAAAATCGATAACGTTTTTTTTTAGTTATATATTAAGGGTGTCGCACTGTAGAACTTCTTTCATCCGCTATATTTGAAATTTCTTTATCATGCTTATGTCTGTGACTAAATTTGTAATAAATCCAGTTCTTTTAATGTTCTAGATATAATAATAATAATGATCGTTAGAAATTAATTATTATAATTTATAGTTTGATTGATGGTTAAAATATATCATAATTTAAATTAGATTAAATTTGAATATGATCAACATACCATATTTATACATTATAAAATATTGTTTTATAATATATTTTACAATTAAATTTAAATAAAGAATTATTTTTAAAAAAAACAAAGGAAATGTAAAGGTGAAAAATAACAACAAAGCCTCATATTTTGTATGGTCATAAATCAAATCAAGGCGGCTATATAAAGAGCATGCTTTGGTTGAAGCAGAAACCAGAAGAAAGCAATGTGAGCCAAACCTTTCTCTTCTTCTTCTTCAATTCTTTCTCCTTTCTCTAAATTTGTTTATTCCAAGAACACATCTCTACTAACAATGGAAATCAAAGATTTCACACGAGGTGGAACTGTCGATCTCCATGGCCGCCCTGTTTTTGCTTCCAAAACTGGAAAATGGAAAGCTTGTGCTTTCCTTGTTGGTAAGATATACATATATATGAACTCTCTCGGCTGTTTCTTGTTGTTTTAACCTTTGGGTCTCATTGGTTTTCGATTTAGAATCTATACTCGGATTCCAATCGCAGTCCGATGAGTCTAACTATACGGAAGTAGTGAACATGTTAGTATAGACTCTAACTCCGGGGAAACTCCGGTGCGAAAGTATAAGATAACGATCGTAACATCACGTTATCGTTGTTACTTAAACTGGGTTTCATTTGTTTCGACCAGTTTGCTCTCATTTCCCTTTTTGCTATTTTTCTTGCTCCGCAAGAAAGGTTCCGGATATCAAAAATGAAAATGGGAAGTAGACAAATGTTGGATGATTCTGGAAAGTTTTCTTGTACTGATTCATAGATGTAAGCAGGATATGAAGCATTTGAAAGGATGGCTTTCCATGGGATAGCTTCGAACTTGGTGAATTTCTTGACGACCCAACTCCATGAAGACACTATTTCATCTGTAAGAAATGTGAATAGCTGGTCGGGTTCGGTCTGGATCACGCCGATTCTCGGAGCTTACGTTGCAGATGCTTACCTCGGTCGGTTCTGGACATTCACCGTTTCTTCTCTCATCTATGTCATGGTAACTCAACTACAACTACTCTCGATTTCTTCGTAGCTTTCATTCGGTATACGTTTTAGACACGTACTCATATCCGACATTCACACTTGAGGTCGAGAAACATACTTTGTTTACCTAATTCCAAATGGTAAGATTTATGTTCACTATTCTACAAAAGGAGGACCACATCATTTTTCCATTACAACCACTAAAAGAAGTTGCCATCATGTCTTATTTGTGCACTTATAATTGGGACAAAATCCAATTGTTTAAGTCAATTCGATACAAATGTTTCGAGAAAAACGAAGAGTCGAAATACAAGTTGTCTAACATTATTATGATTTGATGTGTCAATAGGGAATGATAATGCTCACAACAGCAGTTTCACTGAAATCGTTGAAGCCAACATGCAGCAATGGAGTGCGCAACAAGGCATCAACTCTGCAATCAACTTTCTTCTATATATCTCTCTACACAATAGCAATAGGAGCAGGGGGTACAAAGCCTAACATATCAACCTTTGGGGCTGACCAGTTTGATGATTTCAACCCCATGAAAAGGAGCTAAAGGTCTCCTTTTTCAACTGGTGGATGTTCAGCTCTTTCCTCGGTGCCTTGTTCGCCACTCTCGGCCTAGTCTACATTCAAGAGAATTTGGGTTGGGTGCTCGGTTACGGGATCCCAACGATCGGTTAAGAAAATACCAAGTTTTAGTCCCTAAACTTGATAGCTTTTCCTAACTTAGTCCCTAAACATTTTTATCCACGTTAGTCCAAGAACTCGACAACATTCTCCATTTGCCCTTTTGATGATGCGACATTATAAGATTGTGTTACGTCCAAAAAAAACCAAGTTTAATTACTAACGTGGATAAAAAATAGTTCAGGGACCAAGTTAGAAAATAATTGTCAAGTCAAGGGACTAAAAGTTACTTATGCCTAATAACAATAAAAAAGGCGAGTGGTAGAAAAAATATTATGACGATGATGTAGCCCCCGTTGTATATGTGTAGCAATAAAGTTTCCAGTTCTAACATTGCAATTGTTCATCTTAAACAAGTGGCGAAACAAAGGTTAAAGCAATGGCATATTCAGTTACCGTCAAGTGCAATTAGAGACCGACTGTTTAGAGGCTTTGATAATATTGGAGGAACCTTCGAATACATTAAGCGGAACTGCACTTGTGAAATCTATTAGAGCTATATTGAAACGAGAGTAGCAGATTTTGCTCAATTCGATCCGACGAGAAGTGAATTCCATGACAAATGAATCACAAAATTTAATGCGAATAGGAATAAACTAAGGAGATAGATGGGGTAAGTCGTCCCTAGAACTTTCAAAATTTCTTAAATTTTAGATTTTTTAATGCATTTTCTATTAATAATCTGTTTTCGTTTCTTAAAATTATAAGTTTCTTATCCTCTAAAATTTTATAAATTCAACCCTTAACATAAAATCTTATGTACATTCATGCTCACAACTTCAACTGCCACGACACACGACGGGGAAAGCGCTCCCATTTTCATCCATCTCATCGTTCATTGAAACTAATGCAAATCCCATATAAGACTTCGAAAATGAACAACTATCATTTATACCGTCAACCTATATTGTTTTCTGCACAACAGTTTAATGTAAATCATCAGAACATCTATTAGCAAATTCATACTTTGAAATGCAAGGCCATCTACTGCAGCCAACAGTTCCCACAGGGAGCTCTAACAGTTGCAGTTTCATGTTCAGCTTGAGAAATTCCCTTTTGCTCCACGATTGCCTCTGAAATTGCATCGGAACTGACAACAGAAAGACAATCTGCGCTTCTCATTGAATTCACCGGCTCCTGTGCACAAAAGTTGGTAACAACAGCACTACCCACTGCTGCTGGCTGCTGGTGCCCCGACCTTTCTTCCTCCTACTGTGAACTGAAGTTGGCCTAGGACTTTGGAGAGCCACAATTGATAGAGACCCGTACGAGGAGGGATAATGGAGATAAAAGAAGATGTGTCATGTAGGGGAGAGAACAGGAAAAGAGAGAGTATTTATCATTAGATTCGTTTGATGAGTTTTTATGCCGTCTCGGTTGATATCAGACCTAGAAATGTTAGTCTTTGTAACCCCACTTCTTCTCCTTCTTCCCCTTTAATTCATTCTCACTTGCTTTTGCCCCTCTATGTTTGTCCTCTTGTATTTTGACTTGCTAGTCAACCATAATCTTGTATGAATCTCTATTTACTTCAAATTTTTACACATTGTTGATTAAATGGATGTAATTTAACATTCTACAAAGGATACTTAAATATTAATGGTGTCCTGGTAGTTATGCTAAATTTTAATTTTATCCTTAAATTTTAGATATAATATCAATTGACTTCTCAACAGAAGAGAAATTTAAGTAAATCAGAGGGCTATAAATTAGATGATTCAACTCTTATGTCATAGAATTTGATAATCAATTGGTTGTGATTTTATGTTTTAAGAAAATTGTTGTAGATCAATAATTGAGATTTACAGAAGAAAATTAGACTGAAGAACCTAGTTAGTGTTCTAATAATAGTTTGGGATCAAATTAAAATTTAATCCTTTTTATTAATATATCACATTATCAAACTAATGAAATTTAACGGCTTAATGATCAAAATATAATGAATCCATAATATAAATGATTGAAATATAAATTTACAAATAAACGTCCTTATCTTAAGGGCATAATAAATATTATTCTAACAATTTTTTTAATTTTTATACCTTTATATAAGCTTTTAAATAATAAATAATTAAAAACTACTCCTTAAATGATTAAAAATAGAACTATAAATTCACATACAAATTCTTTATATATCCATATATATTTATTTGTTAATTAAATATTTATATATATATTAAAAATAAATTATTTAAATTAGAATCGAACATAATTTATGGAATCAAATATATTGTTCGACCCATGAAAAGATCTTCCTTTGACATATCTTTTCAGATGTGGGTTATGTATAATTAATTATCTGTAATCTTACGGAAACGTCGTCGTTTGCATGCATGATTTGATTTAGACCTTCCCTTTTCCTCTACCAAACTGCAATTCCCAACCACCTTTCCTTTAGAACCGCAATCAACGGCCAAATGACAGAGAAGTCAGCCATCATTCTCAAAATCCAATCCATCGTAGCACGATGACGTTTCAACATATTATTGGTCAAATCTCAAAAACAATCTTTGACTTCTCATACTAGTAACCAATAATCCTCAAACACGTCAACATCTATTCAACAACCTACTCCATTGAATCCAACGAAAACAAGCTGGAAAATTGATAAGGAAATGTTATATGGACGTGACATCTTTTAAGCTTAGTACATATAAGTGACCATACTAAGAAGTTCGTCGTCCGACACAATAAAAGTAGAAGAGTAAATATGGATTATTAGATTTTGAATATTTCTTTTTATTATTTTAATTATCATTCTAATTAGTTCTTCGAGAAAAATAAAATAAAATGAGACGAATTTTATATCACTAATTTACATGTTATACATCACAATAACTACTATTAAGAAAATTCATTATTATTTAATCAATAATATTATCATACACTTATTAATATTGTAATGAAATAAATATCGATTGGTCCACAATCAAAAGCAAAAGGAAGGAAATCACTTTGCCACCTTTTCTCTTTCTCCCACCAAGTGGGACTATGGACATAATCATAACAAAGAGTAATCTACAATGTTTAATTTTTCAACATGTTTATATTTTTTTCATCTTTAAAGCTAAAATTTGCACACCCTTTAAGAAGAGAGACCTTTCTCTTTTGCAATTACACTCACATTCACATTTCCACATTATTAGTCAATCTTTAGCTATTTGTATGTATGCATATGCAATGGAAGCAGCACCAGTACCTCAAGACTCTTCCATGGAAGGGGTTCTGGCTACACCTACGAACATGAGGCCCGGCTCCGGCTCCGAGGACGTCAAGTTTTGCACCCCGAACCACGGAATTAGGAGGGTGAGTTGGAGAGCCGAGATCGATACTTCACCGCCTTTCGAGTCGGTTAAGGAGGCCGTGAGCCGTTTTGGTGGCAGCGGACCTTGGGTGCCACTGTACAAGTTTGCGGAGGTATGTGTAACTTTTCTCTGTTTTGGTTTGCCTATGGTATGTAGGATGTAAGAAAGGTATGCTTTGTTCTGTCATGTAGTTTGTTTGCATATATATATATATGAACGTGTATGTATATTATATGAAAGTGTATGTATATTATGTTGTGTTCATGAGCAGCATGGAAATGAAGAATTTGACATAAGGAAAGTTGAAGAACAAGCAGCAGAATTGGAGAAAAATCTGATAGTGAAAGAATTGGAAACACTTGATGTGCTTGAAGAATTGGGAACTACCAAAAGGATAGTGGAAGATTTAAAGATACAGCTCAAAGATGAAGCTTTGAAATGCATAATCAATAATGAGCATACCAGAACTGGGAGTTCGAGACCTCACCGCCGCCACCGTCCGGTTTCGTCTGCAGATTTGATCTTGATAGATTCGAAGCAAGTGAAATCGAACCTCGGTGAAACTATCGATGATCTTGGGGTGATACCAAGATCAGAACCATTGCTTGAAAAAGCTGGTGAAATGAGGTGGTTTGCGGCTATGAAAATGGAGGAAGCAGCCATGGCAGCAGAGGCTCTTGCTCTTTTTGAACTCGGTGCCCTTGCAGGAACTAAGGGTTTGTCTAGCAACGAGACATCATCGGGGTTTTCGTTCCCGGTGCCGGAGCCGGAGCAATCTCCTCGAACACCGAAAATGATTCATACATTGCATGGATTTGATGAAGCAAATAATATTTCTGAACATACAATCCTGAGGAAGCTTGAGGAAGCATCAGATGAAATGAAACACTGTAAAAAGGCATTGGAAGAGGCTCTTAAAAGCGTCGAAATTGCAAACCGGAAGCAACTCGATGCCGAAGAGGCTCTCAGGAGATGGATTAACCCCAGGCATGAACACAAGTCACATAACAACAAACAGGTGGTCTACAATGGTATCAAACCCAACAATTCCCATCAAAACTTTCCAAGATCTCCATTAAGGGACCTGATGAACAAGCAAAACCCAGAATTCGAGGACGACCCGAAGCCTGTTCCGAGGACAACAACAGTGTCAATGAGGGATATGCTGAGCAATAAACAAGATACTCCTCAAGAATGTGTGGTGAAAAGAGCTAATGATGAAGGCCAAAGTGGAAGAAAGAAAGTAGCTTTGAGCCAAATGCTTGATGAACTGAAGCAAGATGTGAGATTTCAACCAAGAACTGATCATCAGAAACAGAAACAGATCTTCACACAAAGGAGAAAGTTTGGGTTCATCCACATTTCTCTCCCATCAAAGCAAAGCAAAAAGAAACCACAAGTTTTGAATTCAATGTGATATACCATTAGGTTTGTTGTAGTACTAAATTGCGGTTGACGTTACGATATTACAATTGTGAGTGTTAGAAACATTACGACGTGATTTATTTTTAAAAATAATTACTATTTTACATTGTGAAGTGTCACAATAACCTTGAAAAATATTATGATACGACTATTACATTATGTTCCGACCACAATTAAATATTGCAATTGTTCTATATATTTTTGTTTGTGTTTTGAGTGATCAAATCATGGTGTGGTATTTTTTTTAAATATTAA